GTTCCGACTCGATGGCACCTGACAACAACAACAACAAGGCCCTAAAATAGGTTTTTGCTCCCTTTTTCTTGTGTCTTTGTCTTTTCTCTTTGACATGCCTCTGTTTCCTTTTCATAATTAGATAAATTAACCTTGTTCTCTCTAGATATCTTGACCACCACCCCCCTTTTCACTTTCCAATAGGAAGCTTGTGAGATCCAGTTCATAAAATGCTGTATCTCCAAAGAAATACATATGAATATTTGCTAATATTCTTCCTTACCTCTTCATTACCAACCTTTATTCCTTTCTCAAGTTTAACTGTAGTCTTTGATTTGCTATCAGGAAACCTGAAAAAGTAGTAGGTCAGCCAGTTGTGTCTTCTGACCAAGAGGCCAGAACTTTTGCAAATTTTTAAATCACCCTTTTGCCCCCAACCAAGTTTGGAAGACTGATGTGGTGGTGGTTGTGTATGAGTTGGGTCAAGCTTATAATGGCCCTGTATAGGATTTCCCACGGCTCTAAATCATTATGGGAGCAGAATGCATCATTTTTTTCCCACGAAGCAGCTGGTAGATTTGAACTGCTGACTTTGTGGTTAGCAGCCAAACTCATAATCCACTATGCTATCTTGGAAGCCTGATTTGTCATTGTTGTTGTTGTTAAGTGCCATCAAGTCGGTTCTGACTCATAGTGACCCTGTGTAGGGTTTCCAAAGAGCAGCTGGTGGGTTTGAACTGCTGACCGTGTGGTTCACAGTTCAGTGCTGATCCACTGTGCCACAGCAGAAGTCTGGAAACCTGACTTAGAGGAATGTAATTTAAGTGATCACTAATTGAATACATACGGAGACCTGGGTTGCACCGCAAGGTCGGTGGTTCAAACTCACTCCTTGGAAACCCTTCACAGGGTGGTTACGAGTCGGAACCCACTCAAAGGTACTTAACAACTGAATACATACAGGTAGTAAAGACTAGGACTTATCCAACTTGCATGCTAGGTTCAACATGTGGGACCTTTCCCAGACATGATGACATTTGAGGACTTGATTTCTTCTAAAATTGGGCCTTTAGAAGTGCTCTAGTAGACTGCCTAAGGAAACCCTTTTTGACAATTGGACTCTCATAAGATCCTTAAAGAAAGACAATTTTCTATTTTGAATGCTTATTTGCCTCCTCTAACTACACACGGAAACGGTTTTACCTTCATCAAATTAGCACTACCTCTCCATGAAGGGGAGTTCTGGTGTGGCACTGTGGGATAATGCAATGGACTGTAAGGTCCATTTGAATCTCAAGGTCAGTGGTTCAAACTCACCAGCCACTCCTTGGAAACCCAATACATGATCTCTTTGAGTCGGAACGGACTCAAAGGCACTTAACAATAACAATTAACTCCACAAAGGAGAAGTCCTGGTGGTGCAGTGGTTAAGTGCTCAGCTGCTAACTAGCAGTTCAAGTCCACCAAGAGAAAGATGTGGCAGTTGGCTTCCCTGAAGATGTATAGCCTTGAAAGTCCTATAGGACAATGGCAAATATTCTTCACCTGAGCTCTTCCACTTACCTTCCCACTCCTCCCTTCCCCCCACCCCAGATACCAAGGCTTTTGTTGTTGTTGTTATTGTTTGGTGAAAAAGGAAAAGGCGGGGTAGGAATCACAATATATAACAGTAAAGTATTTTTGACTCACTGCCTGATTCTTACAAAATCCATTTACTGACTAAACATAGTTCAAGATGTTCATCAGTAAGACTGAGTTGATTAAAATAGCTAGCCTGTTTCCTACCTAGAGATAGTCCCATTGTGAGGGTTAGACTAACTGCAAATGAAACCAAACACCACAGCTTCTTGAACTAGACCTTTCTCCTTTGGAAACAAGAGTGGTAGAGTAAGGACAAAAATAAGGAAAGTAGAAATAGAAAGCTATGTATGTTGGTAGGCAGCTAGATATAGCATGGTGCAAATAATCCCAAATCTCATCCAAGAATAGTCAATTTTCATCGGTAGCCTGGTCACCAAATACACCATTAACTCAGGCTAGAAGTCTTTAAAAGGGACACAAAGGAGCAGATGACGCATGTGGATCCCTCAAAATAAATTCACCTCAACTTATGTCTTAAAAGTTTTCTTCCTTTTGACATGTTCTATTACGGTATTGGACTCCTGGTGTGCCACTGTATGATAAGCACTGGATAACCACAAGATCGGCAGTTCAAGCCCACCAGCCACTCCTTAAAAACCCTATACAGGCTTGCTATGAGTTGGAACTGACTCAACAGCACTTAAGAACAACACTATATTACCTAATTACCTAATAATATCCGCTAGTCTGTCAGTTTGTCGTATTGTGGTGGCTTGTGAGTTGCTGTGATTCAGGAAGCTATGCCACCGGTATTTTA